GTAAAGAGAAAGATTTCCAAGGTCTGGGGTGATATGGTTGGTTGCTGCGGAGTCCATTAGCCAACCAGAATTGGAGGGAGCAGCAGAGGTATGATAAGCTTGAGTCGGAGGGCGTCCATCGAGACTGTAGCATTCCTTTGCAGTGTGTACGGGTTTGTCTCAGAACTTGAAAAAGATCCTCACTCGTCCACCACGACCAACACTTTGTTGATGACCGGAAAAGTTAATGAGATTGCCACGAGAAGGTGGTTGGTGGTGATGAAGCGGTTGAAGGGACGAGGGTGATTGCTCCTGATAAAACTGACGATTGACAGCCTACTGGGGGTGCTTAAAGTATCATTGAGGAGAGGGATGGTGGGAGTGAGAATTTTCATGGCCACGCTGCTTGTCCTTGCACACCACCATGTCCACGTTGAATAGAAAAGGCCATCGAGAGAGGGGCGGGTGGCAGCAAGGTCAGATTCAAACTCCACCAACCTGTCATGGAGATCTTCGACATCAATCGGGTTCTCACGAGCACGAAGGGCAGCAGCAAGAGGGCCAAATTCTAAGTTCAGCCCTAGTAAAATATTAAGAACAAGATCTTCATCCGCAACCAGTTCACGGACTAGAGCTAGCTCAGTGCAGATGGTTCGCATCTCCTGGAGAAAAGCAAAGACGGAACAGTTGCCTTATCTTTCTTGAACAAGATATGTCTTCAAACCAATGACCCGAGATTGAGAATTTCCTGCATACATTCTCTCAAGGATGGAGTATGCTTGACGACCAGTGATTGACGCCGAGACATATGGAGCCACCACATCTGAGACAGAGGAAAGTTTAGTATGCAAGATCAATTGATTTTGACGGTACCACCGATCGCGTCCATGAGCTCCTTCTGCCGGTGCTGTGTTGGTGCCGTCAACAAATGATAACATATCCAGACCACGAAGAAGAGTTAGCAGCTGTGCACACCACTGAGGAAAGTTATTTCTTTTTAACTTTGTTGAGAGTTATGAAGCCGGATTTAGAGAGATGATATGATTGTCATCACCGGCTAGTGGGATTACCATAGATCCGTCGTCGCCTATTGGGTAATCAGACATGATGATTAAGAAAAAGAAAGAACCGAGGGTAAAAATTGAATTGGCTTTGAGCTCTTAATTTGGCGGAGAAGGCGCGGATGAGGTGCGGCCGGCTTGGTAAAGGAGCAGCTAATTTGGGTTGGTGATTTGGATGATTTTTTTGAAGTTGTTGTTTGTCGAAGAAGAAGCAAGAAAGAATGAGGAGGGTGTAGCTTGGAGTTTGGCGGCTAGGTTAAGGGATCAGAGCAGTTTTGCTTTTGTGCTCTGATACCATATAGAAATATGAATTGAGTGATGTGATTTCTATTGATAGAATTTAGCTATTGAATGATACAGGAAGGCTAGCTATCTATATATACATACACTTGACAGTAAATTGAAATAGGTGATTACATGTAGTTGGCAGTAGATGGGAGAAGATAGAGGCAAGTAAAAGCTATTACATGAGTTCTCTTAAGATGAGATAGCTGACAATGGCAGAGTAGAGATGGGATGGAAATAATGGTGATGGTGTGATAATAATAGGGGCATTGTATTCTGTAGAAAGGTATGGTTCCAAGTGTAAGTTGTAATTAATTAAATTATATCTCTATCTATCAGAACACACAGTTACACAACCACACTCTACCACGACATTTCCAAGAGATAGAATCATAATGAGCTAAGGTAGGCTATTGGGACAGAATTCTCTAATTCGAATATCATACTAATCATAATAAAAGAGGTGGAAGAGTGAAAACCTGTGAACTAAGGGACAATTGTACAAAGACAGAACTTGTAGTACTTGAGAGATTACAGAATTATGAGTCTGAATTCTTGAAGACTCCGCTCAAATGACGACTTTATCAACTCACGACAACATTGTGAATAGAATACCAATGAGTATGAGCCAAGAATAGCTAGTCAAGAAAGCCTTAAATGTGTAGCGGAAGGTAAAGGTAAAACTTTAACACAATCCTATAGAACTTCTTCAATTCATAGATCAAACAATAGCGCATAATCAATGGTGAGGTGAATTCCATAAGAAGTGGCCGATCCAATAAGAACTGACACAAGCGAAATAGGAGACGGTGGCAGGAAAACCTTACCTTTGGAGAGTGCACTTCGAACAATCAGAATCGGTGTAAAAGGCTGCTATAGGCGGCGGGGTTGCTCTAAGTGAATCAGAGATCAATCAATCAGCGACAGTTATCAACCCTCTGGCTTCGTTTGCATGAGGGAGACAACTGTTCGAAAATCCGTGGAATCGATCTATGGCAGGCAAGGAGACTGTTGTGGACGATATAGTAGTTTCTTCTCGACCTGGTGTGGAGGAGATGAAGACTGGTCGGATTCACAACGTGTAGCTTAGCTTTAACGAGGCGTCGGTCCTTTCAGACTAAATGAAAGGCAAGTCCAGTACACTCGTCATTCCCCTGCGGTAGAACGGAGTGGGGTTGGTGCGGAGGAGATGAGCACTCGTCGGAGCACGGCGATGAGCTTTGCGAGGCGACGGTCCAAGCTAAATGCATTGCTGGCCAGTTGGCCCCGATTGAATTGATAAGGTCATTTTGGCCCGTGCAGATGACGAAAGAGAAAAAATAACATTGCCCATACTATCCCTCCGACAAACGCTCCCGGTGCAGGAAATTTGAAATGGGGAACTCAGTTTTTCTATTTTGCTTTTATATATGGTGTAGAAACACTAAACAAAGTGCTATCTTCTCTCCAGGGGTGGGCATCAGTATGGTCCTGACAAGATCGAACCAAATTCAGGAAACCGAAGGTTCAATAGTGAAAGGTATATTAGGATTAAGGATCAGACCAATAATACATCCGCTCTGCTTTGATTCGGTCTAAATGTCAATTCGATCCATTTTTATTTAGTTTTAATAAAATTAATTGGACCAAGGAATGAACCATATTATATTCAATTAAGTGTGGTCCGGTCCAAACATCGGTTTGGTCCGATGTGGTTCGGTTTGGACCAACTTATTGCCCACCCCTACTCTCCAAAGGGGAAACCCAAGCAACGGCGGACAGATTGCAGCTCCCGGCAACCGTGATGCCACTACTCCATCATTGGATCATGAAACCCTGGTGGTTGGAGAAACCAGAAATTTACCAGAAAATCCGCCCCAATCTTGAGAAACGGATTGCAATATTGCGATCCTATACGACTTCTCAAAAAAATCATGAAAACCTCAACATGAAATCTTACCATTAAATAAATTATAATACCATAACATAAACCAAGTAATTCGATAATTATATACGATAAAATAAATCAAGTAACCCGATAAATCAAATAATGAGATAATCATATACGATAAGATAAACCAATTAATTATTAATCTGATAATCATATATGAAATGGGTAACTATGTCTGAATTGGATATTAATCATACCGTTATCTTTCTGGTCTTAGCTCACTTATTGATTGTCGACTGTCTTACTAGTAATCTCCGACGTCGTGACGCGTTTTTCCAAATTTGATATCAAACAATGAGCAGACACACACTCACACGCGGTTAATTATTTTCTTAGTTTAACGCTTATTTCAAAGAGAGGAAGCTTAGTAGTTAAAAAACCAATGGGTTAGTTAGTTAGTTACAACTTACCAGTCCATCCAAACCAATCCAAATTCAAAATTTATATTCGGAGGACTTAATAATGGGAATGGAGGAAAAATGGCAAAATCCAAAAAGGCCGTGTTTGTTTGCGCCATGGATAGATACAACCACTTGCATTGATACCACACTCAAACAAACACACTCTTTGACTGGCATATGCCAAGCAATCATCCAAATCTCCAACACACAACCTACTCCCCCATCCCCATGTTATTACTATAATCAACATAGTGCAAGAATAGAAGAAAAATCGATTAAGGTCCTTGGTTCTTAGATACTAATTATTCTAGTACATGAATTCTATCTCTCAGAGTGAAAAAGTGAATCATATCGAACAAAAAAATAATCTCAAACTAGGTCGAACCAAATTATATGGAGCAAAACACAGAGCATATTAGGATTGGTATAATCTTGTTCATGATAGTAATAAGCCTTATTTAGTTTCAACATCCGATCTGCTGAAAACCGTGAAAATATGACCAATCCATGAGACTTAGACACCTAGCTGACCCTCCCTAATCTCCTCTCTGACTCTCCTCCCTCTTCCCGATGGATCTCTCTCGGCATGCTATCTGACAAGCTTTATCTCGGCTCGAAGGCTAGCAATAGTACGTTGTTAGTAGCCTCCGACCCTCAAGCTAAACAAGTCCATGGAGAAGGAGGACCAGTGTAAGAAATTTTAATACTAAACTTGCTAAATTGCCACAAAACGACGACAAACCAGACTATTATAAAAATCACATCGATGCTTGACATTAGTTAGAACAAACAATTGGCTAAAGTTTCTCATTTTGTTGATCTTGTAAAAACAAACAATTGGCTTTCTAGTCATGATCTAATATAGTATATTTTTTTATCCACTGTTTTTATTTTCTCCCTATTTTTTAGTCGGTAGATTGTATATACGAATAATTTTCGACTAGACCAGGCCATTTCCCGACTTTATATATATTTGAGTGTAATGGTCAAACCAATAAAGTTAAGGGACCATACTGATATTTTCACCACAGATAAAAAAGGAAACTGACAAAAAAATCATGTGTCTATCGTTACACCGTCATTAATCTCACCGTTACTCCGTTTGCCGCTAAATCTGCCACTTAATTATGGTTTTCCACTTTTTTAATAATTCCTAAATTCCCTTTTCATTTAAAAATAAATTTATTTTCTCCTTCTTCTCCTTCAGAAAACAACGCATTCCTCCATTTCTCACTTCTCCTTCTCTCTCTCCCATTTTGCTTCTTAAATTTAGCAATGGCAGATCGAGACAACAACAATAACCCTGCAATCTGACAGAAGAGGAAAACGAATTGTCTGGGGGATCTTCAGTTTTCCTTATCTCTGCAACTGTTTAGGCGGGAGGGAGGGCGGGGCGTAGTTATTGGGTGTGGGGAAATTCCAAACGGATTTCCATCTTCTCCTCCACCCAAAAATACGCCAATGGCGTTTTGCAATGGCCTAAAAGCTTAGGCTTATAGTCTTTCGTCTCTTCCCCCCGGCCTGCACTTCGTTCTGTCCTCTTCTATCTGGTTCTTCGGATAGAAAAGGCGGAAAAGAGGGTTTCCCCTCGCCGCCGCCGCCACATTTTCTTCCGTCTCGCCGGTTCCTGGGGGTTTTTTTTTGTGGAGAAAAAGGAAAGGAAGAAACAGATGAGTTGCTTCTCGTGCATTAATCGCCGGAAGGGGGTTAAGATCGACATTGAGAAGGCCCCAGGGTCTTCCAATTACCGCAGTAACTCCTCCGATCGCTCTGGTTCGAATCTTGAAATATGAATGTTGTCATCTTTTCGAGTCTTTGTATTTATTTTGATTGGCATCTTCTTTTCGTTTTTGTTCATGTATGGTAACGTAGGTAGCGGGAAGAGGAGGAAAGAACTGGAAGAGAAGTTGCCAAAGGAGAATGGGGCACGGAGTTTCTCGTTCAGGGAGCTGGCCAATGCTACCCAGAATTTCAGGGACTTGAATTTGATCGGAGAAGGAGGCTTTGGCCGGGTTTACAAAGGCCGCCTGGATACAGGCGAGGTATTATACTTTCTTTCCAAGCATCAAAGTAGTCACCATACTCGTATATATCTCTCACATTGTGCATTAAGCCTGGTACCGAAACACTTAAAGCTCGAAACTTGTCCGAATAAATCAAGGTCATTGCGATTTTGGTGCTTTATTTGTTGCAGCTCCGAGTTTAGTGATCATTGTGATACATAGAGCAATGTTGGGTGGATGGTTTCTTAACCCCCGCATATGATTATATTTTGGGAAATTATCATTTTGCCTGATTACTTCTTTTCATTTGTAATCTTAATGTGGCAGATTGTTGCGGTGAAGCAGCTGAACCAGGATGGAATGCAGGGGAATCAAGAATTCATCGTTGAGGTTCTGATGTTGAGCTTACTACACCATCCTAATCTCGTTACCTTGACGGGCTACTGTACTGCTGGAGACCAGAGATTGTTGGTCTACGAGTACATGCCTAGAGGCAGCTTAGAACGTCATCTTTTTGGTATGGCATTTCTGTCTTCTGAGCCCAATTCTTGTTTCTGCAATATTTGACTGTGTTCGCTTGAACCTTACTAGTATTGTGTTCATCCAATTTTTTGAAGTAGAATCTAGAAACAGACATATTAGTCTCCTTAGAGGAGTGATTTAAGTGGATGAAATGTTGAACATTTAGTCCAAGGTGGTCTTTTGGAAGGTTTGGATTTCAAATTCTAAAAGGTTGGAGCTTGGATTTTGAAATGGGATATGTATTCACAATTCAACTAATTTCCTTCCAAGTTCATCGAGTAAAATTAAAGCATTAAACTTGACCGCCTTATATGGTGGTGTTTGTTTTTGAATCCCAGATGCGGACACTGGCAAAGAGCCACTGAGTTGGAGCACACGGATGAAAATTGCAGTCAATGCAGCTAGAGGCCTAGAGTACCTTCACTGCAAAGCAAATCCACCAGTGATCTACCGTGACCTAAAATCTGCAAACATCTTGTTGGACAAGGACTTTCACGCCAAGCTATCTGATTTCGGGCTTGCAAAACTGGGACCAGTTGGCGACAACACTCATGTCTCCACTCGAGTCATGGGAACGTACGGATACTGTGCCCCTGAGTATGCCATGAGTGGGAAATTGACTCTTAAATCAGACATCTATAGCTTTGGCGTGGTGCTGTTGGAGCTCATCTCTGGACGTAAGGCAATGGATTATAGCAAAAGGCAAGGGGAGCAGAACCTCGTTGTGTGGGTGAGTGACTTGAAGAAGTCTCACGTTTTTCCTTCTAACATAAATAGGAAGCTTCTATATATGGACTATGGTAATAAAATGATATTTTGTCTCCCTTATAATGTTTGCAGTCTCGCCCCTATCTGAAGGACCAGAAGAAATTTTGTCAAATGGTTGACCCTCGGCTACAAGGCTGCTACCCTCGTCGGTGTCTGAACTATGCCATTGCCATAGCTGGAATGTGCCTCCACGATGAGGCACATTTACGCCCTCTGATTGGCGATATAGTGGTCGCCCTCGAGTACCTAGCTGCCCAAAGCACTGAGCACATGAGCGGAAAGGCAAGAAGCGAGATCGTCTTACCCTCCTCAACATCAGACAGAAGCGGGCCAATGACACCACCCTCCTCAAAACCGGAGGCAAATGCACGAAGTGAAATCATCTTGCCCTCCTCAAAATCAGATGAAAGTGGAGCAATGATGCCACCCTCCTCAAAATCAGAGGTAAACACCCGAAGCGAAATCATCTTGCTCTCCTCAAAATCAGACAGAAGCGGACCAATGACACCACCCTCCTCGAAATCGGAGGTAAACACCCCTCACGCGCCTATCTTGAAGTTTGATAGAAATGCTCACAGACAAGACGTTACCATTAGCGCATCGTTCTAAAATGACCATCGTCAGTGATCTGGGGCAGAAGGTTCTGTGAGAAAACACCCATTCCTTGAATCATTGTAAGTAAGTTGTTCACTCAAATTAGCTACGATCTGAATGGAAGTTTTATGCCTTTTGAGTTTGTCCTGAGTCCTTATGGTGTGGAGTTTTTGCCGCAGATATCTTGCAAGCTGTGAGAAAGGATGGAAAGAGTGAATATACATAAAATTTATTGATGGATGAATGTTGTTTATATACAGAATGTGTACATGAATTGCACATAAGGGTGGTGTGTGATGTATGGGAGGGTAGAAGGGGCTTCCTTTGTTTTCTTCTTTTCCCACTATTTCTCTTCTTGTTTGATTTCTTGTGAAGAATGGAGCATAGTATGTTAGATTATATATCAATCAATAAAAGAGACCCTTTCATAACCCAGCTTGAAAAGTGAGATCAATGGACATTGTATTGAATTACCATTGAGCAATTAAGATGCATAAATTGTCCTGGAAATGGTATGAAAGTTTCAAACATGACCCAAAATGAAATGTTGGAAACTTACTTTTTTTTTAGAAAACGGGATGCTATAAGGGTGTCCTTGTCTGATAGTTAAATTAAACGATATTGGGCAATAATCAAAGTATCATACAAGACCCAAAAAGAAAGTCGGGATCCAAAACATTAAAAATATGATACTCTAATCCGACTCAATGTCCCCTATTGGCGAGGAAGTCAACAAGTTTGTTGCATTCGATGAAAGTATGTGAGAATTGAACCTTCGAATTTTTATGTGCGGGTCTCTGAAATTCTCTGGCAATGTAATATCTTTGGTCCTTATTATCTGTGGAAGTAAATATTTTGATACCCGTCGTGGAATCAAGTTTAAGATGAACTTTTCTATGCCCTTGCTCCCATGCCAATTTTAAGTCGTATATCGCCCCCCTTAGCTATGCTCTCGTAATTGTACAGACTCCCAGATTTGTGTAAAATCTCTAGTGCATCTCTCATACTCGTCTCTAATAAGCCCTCCTGCTGCAGCCCACGACGAGGTTGTTGGACAGATCCATCTATGTTAATGTAGACCCATCCGACAGGCGGGGGACTCCAATGTAGTTGAGCCGCAGTGTTTAGTTGATAAGTTCCTTGGGTTTGATTCTCACTCTCCTATTCCTGCTGAATGGTCCTCGTCCAGCTTCTGATCCTCCACTTTTGTCTACCTACTTCTTCTAGAATATCTCATCGTTTCTCCGCTTCCATAAGTACCACATCGCCACCCTCATCAGCAGCCTGAAACTTGCAGACTTTAGATGAGCTGCCATTAGGGGTGGGCTACTGGTTCGGTAAACCCAACCCAAATTGAAACCAAATTAAACAGAACAGAAATCAAAATAATGCTATTCGGTTTGAAATTCGGAAGAGATATATGGATATTACGGAAACAAGGGTAAAAACCAAATTACTATAATTGAAAGCTCCAAATGGTGAATTTTTATGTTTGTACTTGTTTTGATACTTAAATATTTGAATCATGTTAGTGTTTTATGACTTATGTGTCAAAATGTTTGATTTTATCATTGATAATGCATATAATTGCACATTTATTATTTACATTAGGGATGAAAAATAATTTAAAATGGAGAAGATACAAGTATTCTCAAAAATTCTATTTCGTGTGAAATTTCGAACTGAACCAAAATATAATTTGGTTTAAACCAACTGAACCAAATTATAATTCGGTTCGAATTTGGTTTGAGGTTTGGTGGAATTCGGTGACCAGGTATGCATAATTTCGGTTTCGAAACTGAACCGACCGAATGCACACCCCTAGCTGCCATCCACTCTGCGAAGGGAAGAGCCACAGTATGGGAGTTTTCCTGGGTGCCAAGCTGGCGTCATACCTGTTGTGCCTTATGGCAATGTCGAAGCATGTGTTATGTGGACTCTAGAGCACTTTTACACAGCTCGCAGGTGTCACTTGTCATGATATTTCTGCGCTTCCTCTCATAATTTGTCATGAGCCTGTTGTAGAATGCCAGCCAAAGAAAATGTTTAGTACGGTTGGGCCCTTTCCATCTTCAAATACTTCGCTACTCTGGTTTCTCTCCGCTGCTCGCCTCTGCTTCATCGTCCTGGAGTCATTCAGTAGTAGCTCGGTAAGCTGAACGGAGGCCGAATTTTCCATCAGCTTCCAATTCCCATACAATCACGTCCTCGCCGAGCTCCTCTCGAGGTGGGTCTACCCCTGAAATAAGACAAACGTAATTGTGAGGGAGGTGAGGTTCAAACATTCTAAAGCGCCACTCACCCTCATTGGTTGTGAGGTTAGCAACTGACGCTCCCCAATCAAAGTCCCTGCCATCGCCAACAATGTGATCTTCAAGGATAATATCATTGGATAGCAATGGACTATTCCAAAATTCAATTTTCCTGCCACCCCTAAGGTCAAACAGTACTCCTTGCTTCATCGCAAGCCAAGCCTCCATGACCCTCTTCCACAATCACGATTGCATGCTTTGTTTCCTCGTCACTCCGCCATCCCTGTTTACACGGAAGTACTTTCCCTGTAACACTTTGACCCAGAGCTCATTAGCATTATTAAGAAACAATCATCCAAGCTTCATAAGATAAGCAAAGTGTCATAACCGGGCAGCTCAATTAGTATGATATTATCCGCTTTGGGCCAAGGCCGCACGATTTTACTTCTGGGTGTGTCCCTAAAAGACCTCATAGTAATGAGCTTGGTGGATACTAATATACAAGAGTTCCTTCCCTTGTATTTCCAATGTGGTACTTGGATAGTTGGATTGTCCTCATAACACAAAGTTAAGAGCTCTGGCGGATCTCAACCCAAGTCCCCCTTCCTCCTTTGGTTTACAAATTGTCTCCCAAGGTACAAGGAGGGCTTTAGGCTTCCCTGATTCAGTTGCCCATGTAAAAGCTCGAATTTCTCGTCAATAATATCGCAAACTGAGACTGGAAACACTATTGTCTGCATGACATAATTTGGTAAAGCATTCAGGACAGACAGAGCTAGAGTCACCTATCTTGCAAGAGAAAGATTCATGGCCTTCAACCCGGACAGTTTCTGGTTAAGTTTTGCAATAATTAACTTGTAGGTGTTTTTAGTCACATGGTCATAAATGACGAGGACTCCGAGGTATCTTCCCAAGTTGTTGGTTGGCTTGATGCCCAACTGATTGCTTATGTAGTTTCTTGGTCGTATCTTTGGTATTCTTGGAGAAATAGATACATGATTTCTCTTTGTTGATTTGTTGTCCAAAAGCCGCACAAAAACGGTTTATACAATCCAGGATAGCCGCTTCCTGTCCACCATCTGCCTATGCAAATAGGACAAGGTCATCTACAAAGAAAAGATGAGTTAATGGCGGACCATCCTTAGAAAGATAGATAACTTTCCAGGAGTCGCTATCAATTATCCTTTATACCTTTGTAAAGTTCGTCTCTTTCATTTCCTTCGTAGATACTCTTCACTATGTTTGCAAAAGAAGATTAACTAGACAATGGAATTGCACTTTGACATTGATGTAGGTATGGGTGTCCAATGGGTTGATTTAAAAAGCGGACTGAATACACTGTTTGTCCAATCTTTTTATCCTAAGATGTGTTTTACTATTGGCACGCTTTTCTCTTGAGTTTGAACAGGATCGGACCATGGCACGCCGTTAGATGTAAGTGATTCATTAGGCATACCGCATACGTTATAATAAAATTCCATAGTTAGCAATATGGCACTATATCAGGAAAAATCTTTCAGCTACAACCAGCCAGACTGATAAACATACATGTCCTACATCGACAGGCTACCGGGTGCATCGCTAAATTCCATTGTATTAACTTGTTCGGTGCAATCTTTAGGGGGATAGAGATCATAAGATATGCATATAGTTCTAGTTTTAGAGGTGTCAGTGCTGAGTAACAGCAATGCACACGGTTTTGAGAACTCTTTGTCCCTGCTCAACTTGTGTCTCCCACTCATCCCTTGCCCTCGCTCTTTGTGCTCGTCACCGGCGACTGTCCGGTGACCATTTCCAATATCTCCCGGGTATCTCTGGTCAACGAGCTAGTGTGAAGTATAAAAAAAAACATTTCATTTATTACTATAAAATAAAAATAGAAATAGCTTTACAGATACTTGGGAACGGATATGGTACTAACAGTTACTGTAAAGGTATATTAGACCAATTCTAATGTTAGTCCCAAATTTTGGGTATTATCCTCATTTTGATGATTTTTTGCTCCAATGCTACTATCTCCAAATTTGGAGATCTATATTTTTAAAAAATTTTCTTTACTTAAAAAATACACTTATGATCATCTTAATCTAATTTGTTCATGTTAATTTATTATAGTTCGTCATCATTTTTAAATACAAATTTCTGATATAGTTTTTTCAAATTCCGAGACCGATTTTCTTGGCAAAAAATTAACATACTTTTAATTTATGAGACTAGGAAAAAATAAAATTAAAAAAAATATTAATTACAACAGTTATTAATGTCTTAATTAAAGACCTAACCCTAATTAAACAAAAAAAAAAGAAGGTGGTGGTTCGCCATAAATAGGGAACCAAATGGCGATTATCGCCATAAATGCCGAGAAATACATTTTTGACGACCGCATTAGACTCAGCCTTATAACTATACCATTTTCCTTCCTTCTTCCTCTCACCTTCCCTCTTCTTCTATTTGCTTTCATTGGCTTCTAGGTACAAAATTATAGTTTTTGACCCTGAATTTAATAGATCTTGTTATTTAGTGCCTAAAATTAATTTTTTTCATATAAATCCTAAAATATTGATAAAAAAATACATTTAATTACCTAAAATGTTTTCCTCTTACATTTTGATACCTTAAATTTGTAAAATTTACAAATAGGTTCAATGGTATTATGTGCTTTAAGAAACTTGTGGTAGGTTTTGATAAACTTGTGGTATGTTTTAACAAACTTGTGGAATGCTTCTCCTTCCATTTTCCCTCCCTCTTCCCAGTTCTCACTTTTGATATGTTAATTATATTAATTAGAGTACCATCTTGTAAATATGCCATACAGCATATCTCGGCTAGGATTATGAATACAAACCCTTATATACTCGTGTAAATAGCTGAAAAGAGTATCAAGTAATAAGAACCAAAAACCTGTGAGGGAGATCCTCACTGTGGACTAGTATCACATTGACGAAACCATGTTAAAAAACTCGATGTTCAATCGTTTCTAGCTTTACTTTGATATGGCATCAAAGCCTGCGACCTGAGATACCGGGTGTTTTCTTTCGGTTACCTTGGTTTCTGCGTCTGATCCTTCTTTGGCAGCTTGGTTTGGCTTTGTTCGCTGCGTCAGATTATTCTTTGGCAGCTCAGATTGGTGGATATTAAATATTCGTCTTGGTCTTCTGCGCATTCCGGGTTTTCTTCTACTTCCTTGAGCGTTGCCTTTGGTTCTCTTCTACCCTAGTTTCCTTATTTTGGCTATCAGTTCCGTGTGTTTACTGATCTTGTTTGATGGACTAGGGAAAACTTGAGGTCTTTTCCGCGAGACTGGGTGGGAAGAACTTCCCTTTTTAGGAATTTCAATTCCGGAGCTTCATCGATGGAAAACGCATGCTCCCCATCTTGACCGGCAAATCACTGAGCCTGCCGACACTGCTACAGAGCGGGACAAAGAAGACTGGGCTGCTTCAAACGCTCAGTTGATACATTGGATTCTTGGCTCGGTTGATGACGAAATCGGAGTTAGTCTTCGTCGTTTCACCAAAACAATATCACGGTTGATGTGGACTGTTCATTCTCAGAACAATGTGTCTCGTCGGTTTGAGCTTGAGAGTGAGATTACCTTGTTCACTCAGGGTGATCGTGATATTTGGTCTTACTATCAGGATTTGGTTACAAAATGGACTGAGAAAGATATGCTAGCTGCCTCGTTCTCTGAGACTCCTGTTACGGCAACCACTCTTCCGAATCGTGATCGATCTCGTCTCATGCAGTTTTTTATGAAACTCCGCCCGGAGTTTGAGGCTATTCGTGCCTCCATTTTGCATCGTAATGATACTTCTATTGAGGATGCTCTTGGTGAATTGTTTCGGGAAGAAACTCATCTTCGTAGCCTCTCCAAACTTGAAGGTTCTTCCGAATATGCTTTTGTTGTGGGCCGCGCTAGAGGTTCGTGTCCTCAGTTTCAGCATGGTAATACTGGCCCCTTGACCTATCATTATTGTCATGAAGTGGGGCACATTCAACCGCACTGCAAACAGAAGAATTTCTGCATTTATTGAAAGCAGTCCGGTCATATTGTTCTGGAATGCAAAGTTTTAGCTCGCCGCAACAAGGGTGGGATGTCACATGGAGAGCGTGGTTCTGGCTTCGTTGGTGGTCCAACTGGTGTGAGTTTTGCCGTGACTCCAGCTCCCACCGCTACTTCTTCTCCCCTCCACGCTCCGCCAGCACTGGCTCCTCTCCCGGTTGCGCCGACTTCGACAAATGTTCGTAGACAGGTGGCTGAGGCTCTGCAGGATGCTCTCCCTACAGCTCACAATTCTGATTTTGCTACCGGTGGCTGTAAAGGTATTTCCTCTAGTTGGCTCCTTGATTCTGCTACATTCAATCGTATGACTAATGCCCGTACACATTTTTCTTCGTTAAATACTGGCTTAACCTCCTCTTAACAAGTCGCCAATGGGGCCCGTCTCTCTACTCATGGTCTAGGCACTGCTACTACAGGAAGTGTTTCTTTGCCAAACACGTTATATGTTCCCAACTGGTTCCCCAGCTTGTCATGGTTGATCAGTTGATAGAGGATGGATGTGAGGTTAAGTTCGATAATTAGGGTTGTACTGTGTAGGATCAGATCATGAGGAAGGTTCTGGGCAAGGGTAAGAAGGATGGCCGCGTTTTTGTCCTTGAAGAATGTGATCGGTCGAGGGCACTGCAGAGAGACGAGTCTTGTTTTTTGTTGGATGAAGACCCGGAGCATCAAGGCTGGCCGGGTTAGGCTTTTTTCTGCGGACGGTGATGTTTTTTAATATGGTAGTGTAGTTGCGGATGTTTGTCTATTGAATAAGGAACACATTTTTTGTGTGTCGATTTCTTCTGATTCCTTGGCCTGCTCAGTTCGGCCTTTAGATTCTTTGGATTTCAGTGTACGAGCCTCTGTTTGGGACTTATGGCATCATAGACTTGGTCATCCCCATAGTGCTCATTTGCATAATATGTTTCAACATAATCTGTTACCCGATTCATTGAATGCAAAATTTAGACAACCGCCTCCCTCTATCCATTGCATTGAAGCCAAGACCTCCCAATCATCTTTCTCTTCTAGTGACACGGTATATGAGTCTCCATTTGATCTTATTCGCAAAGATTTGTAGGGTCCATCCCCTATCACTTCTCGTATGGGGTTACTTCGCCTTGTTCGTCGATCATGCCACACGCTATGCATGGATCTAATTTTTAAGACGAAAATCTGAGCTCATTGATCATGCCACAACATTTGTTCAGATGATTTGTACTCAGTTTGGCAAGACAGCCAAGATTATTCGATCAGATCCTGGTGGTAAATTTAGTTCCACTCCGCAATTGGCCTTCTATCAATCTAATGGTATCATTTCGCAGCAATGTGCCTAGGGGTATCTCAGCAAAATGGGTTGGTTGAGCGCAAGCACTGACATGTGTTAGAACTGACCCGAGCTCTTCTGCTACAGTCTCAGGTGCCTTGTGGGTTCTGGTTCGAGGCTATTAATGTCGTTGTTTATGTTATTAATCGGCAAATTACTCATACTTTGAATGACCTGTCTCCGTTCTTTTTCTTATTCTCCAAACATCCTAACTACTCATGGATGCGAGTATTTGGTTGTGTTTACTTTTTTCTTCCGCAAAAAAGGAACATCATAATTTGGAATCGAAAATGGCTAGATGTGTCTCTATGGGCTACAATGAGCGTCACAAGGGGTACTTGTGTTATGATCCTAAAGAACGTTGTATGCGCATATCTTTTCATGTTGTTTTTCTTGAACAAATTATGCATTACTCTATTGCTGCTGAGGATCATACTCCCACCTTGGATTTTCTTCGACCTCTCCCGAGTTTTGATCCTGAGGTTGGCGTCCCTGGGCCGCCCGATCCGCCACAAGGGGCTGATCCACCTTGAAGAAACGCGTGCTTTGAGGCTAACCATAGTTGGGACATTGTTCCTCGTGTGCCAGGTATTCATGTTCTGGGTAATCGTTGGGTCTACAACATCAAGATGTTTCTTGATGGTACTATTGAGAGACATAAGGCTAGTTTTGTTGCACAGGGGTTTCGCCAGGAATTTGGTATAGACTACGATGAGACTATCGCACTGGTGGTGCGTATGCAGACTGTCAAGAGTATTTTTGCAGTAGTTTTCATCCGCAATTGGCCTCTTATTCAATTGGATGTGAAAAATGCATTTCTGCATGGGGATTTGAAGGAGACGATCTATATGGAGTGCCCGGCTGGATATGACAAAAAGTGGAAGGATGTGGTTTGTAAGCTTCGCAAATCATTGTATGGGTTGAAGCAGGCACCACGAGCATGGTTTGAGAAATTCCATAATATTATTCTACAGGCGGGGTTTGAGCAGAGTTTGAGTGATCCTTCCATGTTCTTGCGGCATACTGTTCAGGGTATAGTTGTGTTATTACTCTATGTCGATGACATGATTGTGACAGGAAGTGATATGGATGGCATACAACATTTGACTTAGTTGTTGCATGATGCGTTTAATCTCAAAGAGCTAGGGAAGTTTCATATTTCCTAGGTTTGGAAGTGACTCGGTCAGAGAAAGGGTTATTTGTGAGCTAGCGCAAGTACGTTATTGATCTTCTAGAGACAGCACAGTATAGTGACTGCAAACCTTGCTCCACACCGATGGAACAAAACTTAAAACTGAGCAGGGAAAGTGGTGATCTTCTAGAAGATCTGACGTTCTATAGGAGCATAGTTGGGAGTTTGATTTATCTCGCCCACACTACGCTAGACATAGAATATGCGGTTCAGAATGTCAGTCATTCCTTAGGGGTGGCTCGCACAACTCACTTGGATGTTTTACATTGCTTGTTGCGGTATCTCAAGCATATACAGGATCTAGGTATGTTTTTCCTTGTCGATTGTCAACCGGAAGTAGAAGGATTTGCTGATGCGGATTATGCAAGATGTCTTGATACCAGGAGGTCTACATCAGGATGATGTGTCCGACTTGGTCGGTCATTTATCTCGTGGAGATTTCGAGAGCAAGACAAAGTTTCAAAGTCATCTCGTTCAGGGAGCTGGCCAATGCTACCCAGAATTTCAGGGACTTGAATTTGATCGGATAAGGAGGCTTTGGCCGGGTTTACAAAGGCCGCCTGGATACAGGCGAGGTATTATACTTTCTTTCCAAGCATCAAAGTTGTCACCATACTCGTATATATCTCTCACATTGTGCATTAAGCCTGGTACCGAAACACTTAAAGCTCGAAACTTGTCCGAATAAATCAAGGTCATTGCGATTTTGGTGCTTTATTTGTTGCAGCTCCGAGTTTAGTGATCATTGTGATACATAGAGCAATGTTGGGTGGATGGTTTCTTAACCCCCGCATATGATTATATTTTGGGAAATTGTCATTTTGCCTGATTACTTCTTTGCATTTGTAATCTTAATGTGGCAGATTGTTGCGGTGAAGCAGCTGAACCAGGATGGAATGCAGGGGAATCAAGAATTCATCGTTGAGGTTCTGATGTTGAGCTTACTACACCATCCTAATCTCGTTACCTTGACGGGCTACTGTACTGCTGGAGACCAGAGATTGTTGGTCTACGAGTACATGCCTAGAGGCAGCTTGGAACGTCATCTTTTTGGTATGGCATTTCTGTCTTCTGAGCCCAATTCTTGTTTCTGCAATATTTGACTGTGTTCGCTTGAACCTTACTAGTATTGTGTTCATCCAATTTTTTGAAGTAGAATCTAGAAACAGACATATTAGTCTCCTTAGAGGAGTGATTTAAGTGGATGAAATGTTGAACATTTAGTCCAAGGTGGTCTTTTGGAAGGTTTGGATTTCAAATTCTAAAAGGTTGGAGCTTGGATTTTGAAATGGGATATGTATTCACAATTCAACTAATTTCCTTCCAAGTTCATCGAATAAAATTAAAGCATTAAACTTGATCGCCTTATATGGTGGTGTTTGTTTTTGAATCCCAGATGCGGACACTGGCAAAGAGCCACTGAGTTGGAGCACACAGATGAAAATTGCAGTCAATGCAGCTAGAGTCCTAGAGTACCTTCACTGCAAAGCAAATCCACTAGTGATCTACCGTGACCTAAAATCTGCAAACATCTTGTTGGACAAGGACTTTCACGCCAAGCTATCTGATTTCGGGCTTGCAAAACTGGGACCAGTTGGCGACAACACTCACGTCTCCACTCGAGTCATGGGAACGTACGGATACTGTGCCCCTGAGTATGCCATGAGTGGGAAATTGACTCTTAAATCAGACATCTATAGCTTTGGCGTGGTGCTGTTGGAGCTCATCTCTGGACGTAAGGCAATGGATTATAGCAGAAGGCAAGGGGAGCAGAACCTCGTTGTGTGGGTGAGTGACTTGAAGAAGTCTCACGTTTTTCCTTCTAACATAACTAGGAAGCTTCTATATATGGACTATGGTAATAAAATGATATTTTGTCTCCCTTATAATGTTTGCAGTCTCGCCCCTATCTGAAGGGCCAGAAGAAATTTTGTCAAATGGTTGACCCTCGGCTACAAGGCTGCTACCCTCGTCGGTGTCTGAACTATGCCATTGCCATAGCTGGAATGTGCCTCCACGATGAGGCACATTTACGCCCTCTGATTGGCGATATAGTGGTCGCCCTCGAGTACCTAGCTGCCCAAAGCACTGAGCACATGAGCGGAAAGGCAAGAAGCGAGATCGTCTTACCCTCCTCAACATCAGACAGAAGCGGGCCAATGACACCACACTCCTCAAAACTGGAGGCAAATGCACGAAGTGAAATCATCTTGCCCTCCTCAAAATCAGATGAAAGTGGAGCAATGATGCCACCCTCCTCAAAATCAGAGGTAAACACCCGAAGCGAAATCATCTTGCTCTCCTCAAAATCAGACAGAAGCGGACCAATGAAAACACCCTCCTCGAAATCAGAGGTAAACACCCCTCACGCGCCTATCTTGAATTTTGATAGAAATGCTCACAGACAAGACGTTACCATTAGCGCATCGTTCTAAAATGACCATCGTCAGTGATCTGGGGCAGAAGGTTCTGTGAGAAAACACCCATTCCTTGAATCATTGTAAGTAAGTTGTTCACTCAAATTAGCTACGATATGAATGGAAGTTTTATGCCTTTTGAGTTTGTCCTGAGTCCTTATGGTGTGGAGTTTTTGCCGCAGATATCTTGCAAGCTGTGAGAAAGGATGGAAAGAGTGAATATACATAAAATTTATTGATGGATGAATGTTGTTTATATACAGAATGTGTACATGAATTGCACATAAGGGTGGTGTGTGATGTATGGGAGGGTAGAAGGGGCTTCCTTTGTTTTCTTCTTTTCCCACTATTTCTCTTCTTGTTTGATTTCTTGTGAAGAATGGAGCATAGTATGTTAGATTATATATCAATCAATAAAAGAGACCCTTTCATAACCCAGCTTGAAAAGTGAGATCAATGGACATTGTATTGAATTACCATTGAGCAATTAAGATGCATAAATTGTCCTGGAAATGGTATGAAAGTTTCAAACATGACCCAAAATGAAATGTTGGAAACTTACTTTTTGTTTAGAAAACGGGACGTTATAAGGGTGTCCTTGTCTGATAGTTAAATTAAACGATATTGGGCAATAATCAAAGTATCATACAAGACCCAAAAAGAAAGTCGGGATCCAAAACATTAAAAATATGATACTCTAATCCGACTCAATGTCCCCTATTGGCGAGGAAGTCAACAAGTTTGTTGCATTCGATGAAAGTATGTGAGATTTGAACCTCCGAATTTTGATGTGCGGGTCTCTGAAATTCTCTGGCAATGTAATATCTTTGGTCCTTATTATCTGTGGAAGTAAATATTTTGATACCCGTCGTGGAATCAAGTTTAAGATGAACTTTTCTATGCCCTTGCTCCCATGCCAATTTTAAGTCGTATATTGCCCCCCTTAGCTATGCTCTCGTAATTGTATAGACTCCCAGATTTGTGTAAAATCTCTAGTGCATCTCTCATACTCGTCTCTAATAAGCCCTCCTGCTGCAGCCCACGACGAGGTTGTTGGACAGATCCATCTATGTTAATGTAGACCCATCCGACAGGCGGGGGACTCCAATGTAGTTGAGCCGCAGTGTTTAGTTGATAAGTTCCTTGGGTTTGATTCTCACTCTCCTATTCCTGCTGAATGGTCCTCGTCCAGCTTCTGATCCTCCACTTTTGTCTACCTACTTCTTCTAGAATATCTCATCGTTTCTCCGCTTCCATAAGTACCACATCGCCACCCTCATCAGCAGCCTGAAACTTGCAGACTTTAGATGAGCTGCCATTAGGGGTGGGCTACTGGTTCGGTAAACCCAACCCAAATTGAAACCAAATTAAACAGAACAGAAATCAAAATAATGCTATTCGGTTTGAAATTCGGAAGAGATATATGGATATTACGGAAACTAGGGTAAAAACCAAATTACTATAATTGAAAGCTCCAAATGGTGAATTTTTATGTTTGTACTTGTTTTGATACTTAAATATTTGAATCATGTTAGTGTTTTATGACTTATGTGTCAAAATGTTTGATTTTATCATTGATAATGCATATAATTGCACATTTATTATTTACATTAGGGATGAAAAATAATTTAAAATGGAGAAGATACAAGTATTCTCAAAAATTCTATTTCATGTGAAATTTCGAACTGAACCAAAATATAATTTGGTTTAAACCAACTGAACCAAATTATAATTCGGTTCGAATTTGGTTTGAGGTTTGGTGGAATTCGGTGACCAGGTATGCATAATTTCGGTTTCGAAACTGAACCGACCGAATGCACACCCCTAGCTGCCATCCACTCTGCGAAGGGAAGAGCCACAGTATGGGAGTTTTCCTGGGTGCCAAGCTGGCGTCATACCTGTTGTGCCTTATGGCAATGTCGAAGCATGTGTTATGTGGACTCTAGAGCACTTTTACACAGCTCGCAGGTGTCACTTGTCATGATATTTCTGCGCTTCCTCTCATAATTTGTCATGAGCCTGTTGTAGAATGCCAGCCAAAGAAAATGTTTAGTACGGTTGGGCCCTTTCCATCTTCAAATACTTCGCCACTCTGGTTTCTCTCCGCTGCTCGCCTCTGCTTCATCGTCCTGGAGTCATTCAGTAGTAGCTCGGTAAGCTGAACGGAGGCCGAATTTTCCATCAGCTTCCAATTCCCATACGATCACGTCCTCGCCGAGCTCCTCTCGAGGTGGGTCTACCCCTGAAATAAGACAAACGTAATTGTGAGGGAGGTGAGGTTCAAACATTCTAAAGCGCCACTCACCCTCATTGGTTGTGAGGTTAGCAACTGACGCTCCCCAATCAAAGTCCCTGCCATCGCCAACAATGTGATCTTCAAGGATAATATCATTGGATAGCAATGGACTATTCCAAAATTCAATTTTCCTGCCACCCCTAAGGTCAAACAGTACTCCTTGCTTCATCGCAAGCCAAGCCTCCATGACCCTCTTCCACAATCACGATTGCATGCTTTGTTTCCTCGTCACTCCGCCATCCCTGTTTACACGGAAGTACTTTCCCTGTAACACTTTGACCCAGAGCTCATTATCATTATTAAGAAACAATCATCCAAGCTTCATAAGATAAGCAAAGTGTCATAACCGGGCAGCTCAATTAGTATGATATTATCCGCTTTGGGCCAAGGCCGCACGATTTTACTTCTGGGTGTCTCCCTAAAAGACCTCATAGTAATGAGCTTGGTGGATACTAATATACAAGAGTTCCTTCCCTTGTATTTCCAATGTGGTACTTGGATAGTTGGATTGTCCTCATAACACAAAGTTAAGAGCTCTGGCGGATCTCAACCCAAGTCCCCCTTCCTCCTTTGGTTTACAAATTGTCTCCTAAGGTACAAGGAGGGCTTTAGGCTTCCCTGATTCAGTTGCCCATGTAAAAGCTCGAATTTCTCGTCAAAAATATCGCAAACTGAGACTGGAAACACTATTGTCTGCATGACATAATTTGGTAAAGCATTTAGGACAGACAGAGCTAGAGTCACCTATCTTGCAAGATAAAGATTCATGGCTTTCAACCCGGACAGTTTCTGGTTAAGTTTTGCAATAATTAACTTGTAGGTGTTTTTAGTCACATGGTCATAAATGACGAGGACTCCGAGGTATCTTCCCAAGTTGTTGGTTGGCTTGATGCCCAACTGATTGCTTATGTAGTTTCTTGGTCGTATCTTTGGTATTCTTGGAGAAATAGATACATGATTTCTCTTTGTTGATTTGTTGTCCAAAAGCCGCACAAAAACGGTTTATACAATCCAGGATAGCCGCTTCCTGTCCACCATCTGCCTCTGCAAATAGGACAAGGTCATCTACAAAGAAAAGATGAGTTAATGGCGGACCATCCTTAGAAAGATAGATAACTTTCCAGGAGTCGCTATCAATTATCCTTTATACCTTTGTAAAGTTCGTCTCTTTCATTTCCTTCGTAGATACTCTTCACTATGTTTGCAAAAGAAGATTAACTAGACAATGGAATTGCACTTTGACATTGATGTAGGTATGGGTGTCCAATGGGTTGATTTAAAAAGCGGACTGAATACACTGTTGGTCCAATCTTTTTATCCTAAGATGTGTTTTACTATTGGCACGCTTTTCTCTTGAGTTTGAACAGGATCGGACCATGGCACGCCGTTAGATGTAAGTGATTCATTAGGCATACCGCATACGTTATAATAAAATTCCATAGTTAGCAATATGGCTCTATATCAGGAAAAATCTTTCAGCTACAACCAGCCAGACTGATAAACATTCATGTCCTACATCGACAGGCTACCGGGTGCATCGCTAAATTCCATTGTATTAACTTGTTCGGTGCAATCTTTAGGGGGATAGAGATCATAAGATATGCATATAGTTCTAGTTTTAGAGGTGTCAGTGCTGAGTAACAGCAATGCACACGGTTTTGAGAACTCTTTGTCCCTGCTCAACTTGTGTCTCCCACTCATCCCTTGCCCTCGCTCTTTGTGCTCGTCACCGGCGACTGTCCGGTGACCATTTCCAATATCTCCCGGGTATCTCTGGTCAACGAGCTAGTGTGAAGTATAAAAATAAACATTTTATTTATTACTATAAAATAAAAATAGAAATAGCTTTACAGATACTTGGGAACGGATATGGTACTAACAGTTACTGTAAAGGTATATTAGACCAATTCTAATGTTAGTCCCAAATTTTGGGTATTATCCTCATTTTGATGATTTTTTGCTCCAATGCTACTATCTCCAAATTTGGAGATCTATATTTTTAAAAAATTTTCTTTACTTAAAAAATACACTTATGATCATCTTAATCTAATTTGTTCATGTTAATTTATTATTGTTCGTCATCATTTTTAAATACAAATTTCTGATATAATTTTTTCAAATTCCGAGACCGATTTTTTTGGCAAAAAATTAACATACTTTTAATTTATGAGACTAGGAAAAATAAAATTAAAAAAATATTAATTACAACAGTTATTAATGTCTTAATTAAATACTTAACCCTAATTAAACCAAAAAAAAAGAAGGTGGTGGTTTGCCATAAATAGGGAACCAAATGGCGATTATCGCCATAAATGCCGAGAAATACATTTTTGACGACCGCATTAGACTCAGCCTTATAACTGTATCATTTTCCTTCCTTCTTCCTCTCACCTTCCCTCTTCTTCTATGTTGCTTTCATTGGCTTCTAGGTACAAAATTATAGTTTTTGACCCTGAATTTAATAGATCTTGTTATTTAGTGCCTAAAATTAATTTTTTCATATAAATCTTAAAATATTGATAAAAAATACATTTAATTACCTAAAATGTTTTCGTCTTACATTTTGATACCTTAAATTTGTAAAATTTACAAATAGGTTCAATGGTATTATGTGCTTTAAGAAACTTGTGGTAGGTTTTGATAAACTTGTGGTATGTTTTAACAAACTTGTGGAATGCTTCTCCTTCCATTTTCCCTCCCTCTTCCCAGTTCTCACTTTTGATATGTTAATTATATTAATTAGAGTACCATCTTGTAAATATGCCATACAGCATATCTCGGCTAGGATTATGAATACAAACCCTTATATACTCGTGTAAATAGCTGAAAAGAGTATCAAGTAATAAGAACCAAAAACCTGTGAGGGAGATCCTCACTGTGGACTAGTATCAAATTGACGAAACCATGTTAAAAAACTCGATGTTCAATCGTTTCTAGCTTTACTTTGATATGGCATCAAAGCCTGCGACCTGAGATACCGGGTGTTTTCTTTCGATTACCTTGGTTTCTGCGTCTGATCCTTCTTTCGCGGCTTGGTTTGGCTTTGTTCGCTGCGTCAGATTATTCTTTGGCAGCTCAGATTGGTGGATATTAAATATTCGTCTTGGTCTTCTGTGCATTCCGGGTTTTCTTCTACTTCCTTGAGCGTTGCCTTTGGTTCTCTTCTACCCTAGTTTCCTTATTTTGGCTATCAGTTCCGTGTGTTTACTAATCTTGTTTGATGGACTAGGGAAA